TCCTTGAGGGATGATCCAGTGTATCCTACCCCCCTTCCCTTCATTCAGCTAAATTAATATAATCTATACAGTCCACAATTAATTAGTAGCACCGTACTTGTGGGTGCTACCCAATCCATACTGGTCTCGGATAGATATGGATAAGATTGTGAGGTCGAAGGGGCCACCTGTAGTGACCAGAGGTGGTTAAGTTTTCTCACATGTCTACACGGGGTGACTACGGTAAACAATATGGTTGTCTCCCAATGAGATTACTTGTATGTATATAATGTTGAGGTACTTACAGATAAACACCCTAGAAAATTTTCCATACCCTTCATAATACTACAAACTGGAATAGTGCCAGATAAGTGGAAAATGGCAAATGTGATATCCATCTACAAAGCAGGAGACAGGGCCTTAGCTTCGAACTATACACCAATAAGCTTAACCTCCACTGTGGGAAAAATTGATGGAATCAATAATTGCCAAGTTTGTTCAAAGTCACCTTGAAAGACATAAATTGATTAATGAATCTCAGCACAGTTTTACAAAGAGGTGTTACTGCCTTATGAATTTACTAACTTTTTTCACGATGGTATTTGAAGAGGCCGATCAATGTGATATTGTGTATATGGACTTCAGTAAGGCTTTTGACAGAATTCCACATTGGAGGTTATTGAGGAAAGTTGAGTCACACAGAATAGGAAAAAAAAAAATTCCTGGATAGAGGGGTGGCTAACAGATAGCCAACAGTGTTTACCTTATATCTTTGATGAGTTTTGAGAGTCTTTTTACTCCTGGAACCAGGCCATGGGCCAGGCTCAGGGAGAAATCAGTGTGAACGCATCACAAATGGTGTTTCACAGGGGTCAGTGTTGGGCCCTTTGTTGTTCACAATTTACACAAATGACAGAGATGAGGGAATGAACAGCGACATAAGCAAGTTAGCCGATGGCACCAAAATAGGTTGCCGAATTAATTCTGATGAGGACACTCAAGCGCTGCAGGAAGATCTGAATAAACTGATGCAGTGATCAGAGAAATGGCAGATGCACTTTAATACAGCCTTTCCTCACTTAATGATGGAGTTCTGTTCCTAAGACCAAGTCGGCAAACAAATATATTGCTAAGTGAGGAGCATACTATAATGGTAGTGGGTTTGCATCAACCATCTTTGATAATGTTTTAATGTCACCTTTGCACCATTTACAACACTGGTATGTTTTTAAATGTTTATACAGTAGTGTACTGTATATTGTAATAAACAGAATAGAGAAAATCAGCTCTAGTATACATTTAGGTATGCATACTAGTCAGAGAGCTCGTCGTAAGTCCGAGTCATCGGTAAACGAGTACATTGTTGAGAGGCTGCATGGACAAATGCGAAGTTCTAAGCATTGGAAAGAAAAAAAACATGACACCAATAAACTAAATAATGTAGATCTTAAAAGCACTGATTAAAAAAAAAAAAAAAAAAGAGATTTTGGAGTTCTGGTTAGCAGTAATCTAAAAGCAAGACAACAGTGCATAAGTGTTTGCAATAAGGCAAATAGAATTCCTGGGTTCATATCAAGAAGAATAAATAACAGTCGTCCTCAGGTTATTTTTCAACTCTATATATCATTGATTAGGCCTCATTTAGATTATGCTGCACAGTTCTAGTCATCATATTACAGAATGGACATAAATGTGCTGGAAGACGAACAAAGAAGGGTGAAAAGGTTGATCCCACATACAGTGGAACCTCGGTTTTTGAACTTGATTTTTTTCAAACGTCAGTTCAACAACCAAAATGGATGACAACCAAAGCAATTTTTCCCATAAAGAATGATGTAAATAGAATTAACCCTTTCAGGGTCCACAGGCCCTCTCAAGAGACTTGTTCTCAGGGTCCCCCAAATTTCAAAAAAAAAAAAATATTTTTTCTTATGAAAAGATAAGAGAATCTCTTCCCGATCATAATGACACCAAAAGTATGAAATTTGATGGAAAACTTACAGAATTATGCTCTCGTGAAATTAGCTGTCTCGACGATGTTTACACATTGGCGATTTTGCCCACTTTGAGCCCTATTTTCGGCCAATTCCAATGTACTAGTCGACAAAAATCATAACTATTTCGCTAGAACTCCATTTTTTCTATCGAATGAGTACAAGAAACCACCAATTTACCAATTTCAACTATCCAATACAGTGGTCAGAATTTAGCAATTTTGCCAATTTCACACAAATTTCAAAAGATGCCAATTTCCAAATAGGGTCCAGAATAAACAAGAAAGACATTCCTGGCACTAAAATAGCATTTCCTCTGTTCATTAGTCACGTCCCCAGGCCCCTCTTACATTTCTTTTGCTTTCCACTTTGAATTTTTATTCTCACAAAAAAAAATAATATTTACTGTTATGTAGACTACTGCATTAGTGTAGAAATGGTATAAATAATATCAGCACACTTGGGAAAGAATATTAGACTCACCAGTTGACGTGTATTGGACGCTTACCATGATTTGTTTACTTTTGAACTTTGGTAAAAATCGAACATTTCTGCTACTTTGAGCTCAATTTCAAGGTACTTTTCATTGTAAAACCAGTCAAACTCATCTCAATTTCTGTAAGATGCCTTCCATTCTATACAATGAGACCAGGAAAACTAGAATACAACAATAAATACCATATGAAAATATAGTGCAAAGTCGCTGTTTTAATCCAAAAACACAAAGTTTTTTTTTTCTCATTATGCACTGTGTGCTGCAGGACTTTTTTTTATACTGCACACACTGACCACATAGACCCATTCTTTCATATGTAGGCCTACCAGTTTTCTCTCACTAGATTTGAAGGCGCTAGAATTTATGCGTACTAGTACGTCATGGACACTGGCGTGTAAGCCGTCCTAGTATGGCCAAAACCCTGAAAGGGTTAATCATTACAAACCCCAAATGACAATATAATAATTTATTAACAATGTACTAAATACAGCCTCTCCTCACCAATGGAGTTCCGTTCCGAAGTACATGTCGGTAAATGAATTCGCCGTTAATCGAGGAACCAACCCTTACTGATACAGTGGACCCTCAACTAACGGCGGCATTAGGTAATGGCAATTTCGTCTAACGGCGCTTTTTGGTATAAAAAAATGTCTTAACCAACGGCGAAAAACTCTACCAATGACGTTCGTACAGAACATGTCCATATGCCCAGAGCGCGGCCTGAGCGGGCTCAGCCACTCCAAGACTCAGTATGCCATTGTTTACAAGCTGTTGCAGTTGGTTTCCACGTGTGCCTCCCACATATTTTGAATTATTCCATTGTTTTTAGTGCTTGTAGCTGCTAAATAAGCCACCATGGGCCCCAAGAAAGCTTCTAGTGCCAAGCCTGTGTTAAAAAGAGTGAGAATTACAATGGAAATGAAGGAGATCATTGAAAAATATGAGAGTGGAGTCCGTATGGCTGAGTTGGAAAGGCAATACAACAAATCACATTAAACCATCAGTACTATCTTGGTGAACAGACAGGCAACCAAGGAAGCTGTTGTTGCGAAAGATTCAAGTACGTTTTCAAAACGGAGACCGCAAATAATTGAAGAGGTAGAGAGACTGTTATTTGTATGGATAAACGAAAAACAATTATCAGGTGAGTGTTTCTCAGTCTATAATTTGTGAAAAGGCAAGGAAGTTGCATGATGATCTCATTAAGAAAATGCCCCAAAATAGTGCTGCTGATGATGAATTTAAGGCCAGCAAAGGCTGGTTTGAGAGATTTAAGATTCGTAGTGGCATACACAATGTGGTAAGGCATGGTGAGGTTGCCAGTTCAGACAAAAATGCAGCTGAAAAGTATGTGAAGGACTTAAAGGAATACATAGAGACTGAAAACTTAAAATCTGAACAAGTGTTTAATTGTGACAAAACAGGCCTGTTTTGAAAGAAAATGCCAAACAGGACCTACATTACAGGAGGAAAAGGCACTCCCAGGACATAAGCCTAAAATGCAGCTGAAAAGTATGTGAAGGACTTAAAGGAATACATAGAGACTGAAAACTTAAAATCTGAACAAGTGTTTAATTGTGACAAAACAGGCCTGTTTTGAAAGAAAATGCCAAACAGGACCTACATTACAGGAGGAAAAGGCACTCCCAGGACATAAGCCTATGAAAGACAGGCTAACATTAATGTTGTGTAGTAATGCTAGTGGTGATTGCAAAGTGAAGCCTTTATTGGTGTATCACT